AACAAAGCACTAACTTACGCTAAGATGCCTTAGAAGAAATCATCTATTCCATTAGCCATATGGAATTGGCAATTTTTCCCAGAAGCAGGACATAGAATCACAAAGGTAGAAAGGATATTTTGGATTGATATGCTATTTTTAAACGATCTTTTTTAGCTCAGTGTTCTCTCCATTGCACTCTCCTATTGTGGTATAAATATGTAAAGGAAAACAACACTGAAAGACTTCAGATTTCTGATCAATACAGTGATCACAATCATAATTTTAGAGGATTGTCAGTGAAGCATGCCTCCTGCCACTCTAACTGGAATATAGGTGGAGAATCTTCCTAAAATGCAGTCTGTTCATATACCCCATGCCACCCCACATTCAACAGACTTCAGTGGTTTCCTATTACCTCCAAGATCACAAAAGAGCTTTTCAAGCCCTTTGTAGCCAGGTCCCTTCCTACCACTCAGTCTTCTTATACCTTACTCCCTTCCACACACTCTACAATCCAGTGACACTGGCCTCCTTGCTGCTCCTCAAACGCAACATTCTATCTCCCAACTCCATGAATTTTCACCTGGCTGTCTTCATCTCCACCTCATGGCTTCCCAGGGTTCCTTCAAATCTCTGCTAAAATCCTACCTTCTGCAAGAAGTCTTCCTTTATCTTTCTTAAACTTAGTGCCTTCTGTAGATGTTTTTGATCCAAGAAAAAATTTTTTTGGTAAGCCCCTTAGAAGAGTGATGCTTTTGGATACAGTAAAAATTCTGTGGTTTCATTTCCCTTGCTTATTAGATTTAACATGAAAAAGCCACAAAGGTGCAGACAGCTTCAGTATTTGTCATAGTACATTGAAAATTCTGACTTCAGAGGGAGTCTGAAATTGAAGCTTCTTTTTAAGAAAAGAAAAAAAAGAAGAAAAATCCCCTCATTATTCCCCTGAAATTTCTGCCCTGGGGCCATGCTCTCCAAGTGGGCCCTGCCTCAGGCTCACCTGACCCACTATCTCAGCTCAATCTCAACCATGCTTAACTTTGATCCCTGGCACCTGGAACCACAATTAAATCAATTCTGCCATCGATCCTGAAAAGGGTATGTCAGTCTACTTCCCTGTGGCTTCAATCACCATCTTTCCTAAGCCAAGTGCTCCTCCTTGACCATCACTCTCTTTTATGTGTTGTCTCACCCTGTTAAAATGTAAGCTCTGCGGGACAGAACCATCTTTGCTTTTATTTCTCTCCACAATGCTTAGCACAGTGCTTGGTAAATAGCATGCACTTAACTTTTTTTTTCCTCCCAAGTCATTTAATATAAAAATAAAATATTCAGGGGGCAGCTAGGTGGCACAGTGGATAGAGCACCAGCCCTGGATTTCAGGAGGTCCTGAGTTCAAATGCCGCCTCAGACACATAACAATTACTAGCTGTGTACCCTGGGCAAGTCACTTAACTCCATTGCCTACCAAAAAAAAAATAGTCTAAAATAGTAAAATATTCTCAAAGACACATCTGTACTTATTGGTGCAAATGAAACACTTTTACACTACAGATGATCCTATTTTCTATTAAATGTTTACTGCCTCCTTTTTAACACTTGTGTTGTCTTTGATGCTCCTTTCTCCTTCATCTCTCATATTAAAGTTGTCACTTATTTATGTTGGTTCTGCCTTTGTAACATCTCTCACATCTGTCCCCTCTTCTATTTCTGCCACCCTACAACAGATTATTATTACTGCTTGCATGGACTATTGCAATAGGACATCTATCCCTTCTTCACCCCAATCATTCCTCCCTACCTCTGTCAGAATAAACCTAAATCATGCCCTTACTCCAAATTCGTTAGCGGCTCTCTTATTGCCTACTGAGGATATTTCAAACTTCTTGACTGGCATTCAAGGACCACTAAAACCTAGACTACCCTGCCACTCCAGCTTTATTTCTTATTCTTCTCCTAAATTCTATGCTGCAGCCAAATTGACTCAATACGTACCCTCAACATGCCCTGCACCTTCCCACCTCTATACGTTGGTTCACACGGTTGACTACACCCTTCTCTGCCTCTTACCAACCCTTTAAAAATAAATTTAAATATCATCTGCAACATAAAGCCTTCCCTAATCTCCAATCCTTCTCCAATAAATACCAGAACAAAAACACAAATAAACAAGGCCTACTCACAAAAAGCTCTCCTTATTAGAGGCAGCTAGATGGCTAAGTAAATAGGGCACAGGACCTAGAGTCAGGAAGGCCCAAGTTCAAAGTCTCAGACACTTACTGCTGTGTGACCCTGGGCCAGTCATTGACCTCTGCTTCTGTTTCTTCTTCTGTAAAATGGGGATAACAATAGCACTTATCTCCCAGGATTATTGTGAGGATCAATTGAGATAATATTTGTAAAACACTTTGCAATCCTCAAAACAGCTATTATTATTCTATTGAGGGAGACAGCATGTATATATACAAATATATAAAGGATAAATATATGTAGCCAATCCACAAGCAGTTATTAAGTGCTTACTATATGCAGGGGGCAGCTAGGTGGTGCAGTGGATAGAAAGCCAGGCCTGGAGTCAAGAAGACTCATCTTCCTGAGTTCAAATCTGGCCTCAAGACACTTACTAGACTTACTTGACGCTGGGCAAGTCACTTAACCCTGTTTGCCTCCCTTTCCTTATCTGTAAAATGAGCTGGAGAAAGAAATGGCAAAGCACTCTACTACCTTTGCCAAGAAAAATCCAAATGGGGTCACAGAGAGTCAGACATTATTGAAAAATGACTGAACAATAACAATATGCCAGGCACTGTGACAAGCACTGAGGACACATACACACAAAAAAGGTAAAACAGTCCCTTCCCTCAATGAACTCACATTCTAATGGAGGAGACAATATGCAAACTATGTGCCTGTGAGATATATGCAGGATAAATTGGAGGTAATCTCAGAGGTAAAGCACTAACAGCAAAGCAGACTGGGAAAAACCTTTTCAAGAAGGTGAAACATCAGCTGAATCTTAAATGAAAATGGAACCCAAAATGCAATCAATCAGTCAATGCCAAAAAGTCAAATGCAAGGTAGTTAGGAAGGGAGGGCACTAGGGACTGGGGAGATTGGTAGAAGCTTCAAGAAGATGGTGTTTGAGTTACATCTTGAAGGAAGAAAGGAACTCTATAAGGCAGAGGTGAGAAGGGAGTGTATTTCAACCATGGAGGGTGACCAGCACAAAGTTCAGGTACGGGAAGGTGGAATTCTACATCTGAGGAAGAGAGAAGACAGTCTGGCTGGATTATAGTGTGTAGGAAGGTGAAATGAGAATGACAAGGCTGGAAGGCTAGGTTGGGGCCAGGTGGTAAAAGGCTTTAAAAGCCAAATTAAGGAACTAAAAATTTATCCCTAAGAAAATAGGGAGTCACTGGAATTAAATGGGGAAGTGGCCTGAGTGCTCTTTAAAAATATCATTTTGGCAGCTATGGTCATTCCTTTGTTCTTCCTCAGGCTCCACTCCTGATTGTCAGAACTTCCTTCTTTACAAAAAAAGTTCACTCCATCCCTGAAACCCCTCCCTCTGATTAGTCAATTTCTCCCAGAACCTTTATTTTAAGGAAAGTGCCCAGGCCAGTCATGTTCATTCCTTAATTCCCCTCTAGGCTCTGCTCCAGACTCAGGCCTTCTCTTTCCACCATACCTCCTGGAGGATACCTCCTCCCAACCTTTTTTCATCTTCTTTTTATATGTTTTTTTCCCCTTATTAGAAAGCGTAAGCTCCTTGAGGTCATAGACTTTCTTTTTGCTTGTTTTCATATTATCAGCACTTAGTACAAGGCCTGGCACATAGTAGAAACTTCAAAATTGCTCACTGACTTAACTAACTGGACAATTTGTGGAGGATGGGTTGGAGTAGTAAGAGACTTGAGGAAGAGAAACCAATTGGGAAACTACTACAACAGTTCAAGTGAGTTATGAAGAAGGCCTGACATAAGATGGTAACAAAGAGGGGAGAAACAGAAGACATGTTGTAGAGGCTTGGCAATTAATTGATATGTGGGGCAAGAGAGTGAGGAGTTGAGGATAAGAGGTAAGGTTACAAATCTGAGAGACGAAAAGAACAAGGGTAACTTGACAGAAATAGGGATGTTCACAAGAAGGGCAGGTTTGGGGGGAAATATAACAAGTTCTATTTTAGACATGTTGAGTTTGAAATGTCTCCAGGACAAGCAGATTGAAATGTCCAATAAGCAGCAAGAGGTACAGGAATGAAGTTCAAGGGAGAGCCTAGAACCAGATATCTAGATGTGAGTCATCTGCACAGCAATGATTATTAAAGCCAAGAGAGCTGAGCAAGTAACCAAGAGACAGAATGTACAGAGGGAAGAAGTCCCAGGACAGAACCTTGAGCATGCTATGGGTGATGAGTCAGAAGGAGCCTGAGAAGGAATGATGAGACAGGCCAGAGAACCAAGAGAGTGGTGACAGGAGAACCCAGAGAGGAAACAATCCAGGAGGAGAGGATGGTCAAACATTAATTACCGTAGTGTACTCATCTTCTCAGATTTTGAATTAATTTTAACAAAATAAAATCCTTAGTAAACAATGTCACAGTCATGCCTGGAACAAACCTTAAAAATCATCTAGTTAAATTGTCCTCAAAATGGTGGCCTATTTACTAGATTAATACTAAAAGCAGACAATATTTACAGCTCAGGTGAAAGATGTTATTTCATTCCAGTAAGAAGCTCCAGAACAGGAAAGACATTTTAACTTATCACACTAAGAAATTAGCTATATCCAGATATAAACTAAAATGTTTTATAAATATTCCTTGAAAATTCTGTAGATACCCCACTGTGTTAAGTCAGCATTGATTGCACAGAATGAATGATCTTTGCACATCATGCAAACAGTGGACACATTTGAATGTTTGTCTACATTAGTTAAGATATAAGTCAAAAACTCCAATAAGGATAAATAAAGGTGGTGGGGGGAAGTTTTGTTAATGATTAAAAGTTTAAACTTACCTTGTAAAAATTCCTCCCTGAAAGCAATGAATTAGAAGACTGCAACTCAGCCCTTTCTGACCTGTTTTCTGAAAATCTTCCTTGTACCATATAAAACTAAAACATTGGACCACCCCTGCTGCAATGAGCACAAAGCTCACTGTTAAAATACCAAAAATATGCTGTCCTTCATAGAAAAAATTTACAGACACCCAGATATCCACTATTAAATCAGCCATATAGATTACACTGCCAAGAACTAACATCACAAAATTCCATTTTGTAAATCGCATTATGAGACCCTATAGTTCTTGGCTGCCTGCTTCCTATTATTTCATATATTTTTAAAAAATGTGGGCAATTAATATTAATGCATTCTTCACCATGGTATTGAATTTTAACAAAGTCTATTGACCCAAGTCATAAGAAAATTAATGAGGCTATAATCTTTTCTAAAGAACCAATGTTAGGACACTAGATGTAGAGATGGAGCATTCAATTGTCTGTTTCAAAATAAAGATGATATCTGCCTTTGTCCCAAATGACTGCACCTAAAGAAAAAAAGAAGGGAAAGCTCATGAGAATCTTGGACATGATACTAAAAATGCTAAAAACTTAGAAAGCAAACATCCATGGAAACATAGCTCCAGAGCTAGAAGGGATCTCAGAAGTCATCTCATTCAGAGGCGTCAATGCTCACTTCACTACCTAGTATGGCCGGAACCTAATTAAAATATGGAAATATTTAACAAAATAAATAAAATAAAATAAAATAGAACATACAGAACGGTAATACATGGTTTTCTAAGTTAATATGCAGCCACAAGGATGCTTATATAAGGTTGTCATGTTGTTTCAGTCATGTCTACCTGTGATCCCATTTGAGGTTTTCTTGACAAAGATAGTGGAGTGGTTCCATACTGCCTTCTTTGGCTCATTTTTACAGATAAGGAAACTGAGGCAAACAGGATTAAGTGACTTGCCCAGGGTCATACAGTTAGTATCTGAGGCCACATTTGAACTCAGGAAGATGAGTCTTCCTGAATCCAGGCCCAACACTCTATCCACCTCCACTGAGATGCCGTAAGTAAGGTTTATTGGCCTCCATTTCTATTTGAGTTTGACATCACTGATCTAGACCACTGACCTCCTTTTACAGATGAGGAATCACTGAGGAGCGACTGATGTGAATCACTAGCGAAGGAACCTCTGACTCTCACCCAACTAATATATTGAGTATGACTAAATCAATCAATTAACAAACATACAGTAAACTCCTACTACGAACCAGAGATGGTACTAGAAAGACAATGGCAAATGAAACAGTCCATACTTTAAAGAATTCCTGGGCTTGTGGCAGATCCTTGACATGAAAGTCTCAGAAAACCACTTAACTTTCATAAACTTTTCCTTCCTGTATTTACCTTTTAATAACACAAACTAATATACCCATTTTTTAATGATTTTTTTTTCTTGCTTTTCATAGTACTTCACTTCTGGGTCCTGCTGCAGAATTTTACAAGGAGGTGTCACTGTTCCTAGAGAGATGCTGTTAAACCTGAAGGTTCAGAAATACGAATCTTCCTGACAGCAGGTTACAGTGGTTAGAATGATGAGGTTCCACACGTACAAAAGAGTTTTGTGGTGACAAAGAATTGGAAATTAAGGGGATTCCCCATCAATTGGGGAATGGCTGAACAAGTTGTGGTATATGAATGTGATGAAATACTATTGTGCTATAAGAAATGATGAGCAAGCAGACTTCAGAAAAACCTGAAACTTGTATGGACTGATGCTGAATGAAGATGAGCAGAACCACGAGAATGTTGTACACAGTAATAGCCTTAACAATGCAAGGATCTAAGACATCTCCAAAAGTCTCACGATGGAAAATGCTATCCACATCCAAAGAAAGAACTATGGACTTTGAATGCAGATCAAAGCATAGTATTTGCTCTTTTTTTTTTGTTTTGTTTTGTTTCCTCTTTCTTGTGGTTCCTCCTATTGTTTCTAATTCTTCCTTACAACATGACTAATGTGAAAATATGTTTAATAGAGGAATATATATATGTAAATCCTATATCAGATTTCGAGCCATCTTGGGGAGAGAGGGGGGAGGGAGGGGAAAAAAAATTTAAAACTCAAAAGTTTATGGAAGTGATTGTTGATAAATCAAAATAAATTAATAAAAGGTTTTTTTTAAATGATGAGGCTCTGAAATCTTAAAACTTAAAGCTTCTCCAGGGATGCCTTTGCCAAGACTATTGGCTAAATGACCTTTTTGTGTAGCAGCTTCCTCATCTACAAAGCAGGAAGAGTAATACTCAATATAATACACTTCACCAGGAGGTTAGAAAGATTGAACTGAATGAGAGGGCTCACAAATTATCATATGTATTGAAACTGTGTCCCATAGAAAAACTAGGTTCCACAAGACGCGGCCAGCAGCTCCTTGAAAAACCAAAATATAGTCTCATAATCCCAGGGTTATCCTGAACTTCTCACTCTCACTCCAGTATCTGGCCACTGGACCCAGAAGGCTCCGGAGGAGAAAGTGAGGGCTGGTGACTTTGTGCAGCCCTGCCTCACTTAAATCCAATTCACTTGCAATTCAAGGCAACACCCTTGTGATATCATTGGTCCTCTTAGAGAACAAAGGACAAACAACAGCAAACTCACATATGTACATGTTATTTCCCTAGATAGGCTATGAGGCTCTTGAGAGCAGGAACTGTTTCAATTACGTCTTTGTATCCCGGTGCTGAACACATAGAAGGTACTGAATAAAAGCCTGTTGATTAAATGGGGTGAATCCAGGATGTGCCCTAAAGTTAGAGCTGGAATGTGACCAGAAAGATAAAATTGCCTATCTAATGGGAAAGGAGCAAATCTTCTAAAAATTTTAAAGTAGAAACAAATAATTATAATAGCAGTTTCCAGAATATAAGAAATGAGCAGAACATATCAGTTTATAGATCCCAAGATGAGGAAGAGAGTATGGGTTGTTTTTTCTACCTTTAGGGAAGAAAAATATAGGGGAAATATCTTTTCAGAGGGAAATAGCTACTCAAAACCATTCAATTTGACAATAGCCAAAAAAATTCATTTACCTCTAATTTCTTCTCTCATCTAAATATTATAATCTGAAACAAATCTGGAAGAGCAATGGCTTAAAGAAATTGCAAGAAATGTAAAGCTAATCTTTCTATATATACTTAAATTCAAGTATATTACATATATATTGTATGTTACATAACTAATTTTTTTTTATCCATTGGGAGACTGAAGCCTGCCAAGTATATTTCTTTTAACTTCTGTATCCATAAAAAGACTTTCCATTGCCTGACCATAACAGGGAAGCCAGCAGCCACTCTGGATATGGATAGCTTTTAAGAAAGTGAAGAGCAATTTCTTAGAAACTATAGGGGAAATTGCAGCATTGGCAGAATACCAGACGAAGTAGACTGATTTAATATGATGACTCCTAGGTTTCTAATTCAGTTTCACAGAAAGCAATTACCTGTTTGGAAATAAACTAATACACAAAGTGAATATGGCTGCTCTTGCTGGAAGTGCCAATTGTATAACTTGCATGAGGGGCATTACCAATGAGCTCTAATCACTACACTACAGTATTATTCCAATATGTAGTCAGGAAAACCACAACCAATAATAAAGTTCTGTAGCATAACATCTTTCTGAGATTCTTAATAAAGTGTCACTTCTACCATGAACCAATACTGAAGAATGATTAAATCAGTCAGGCCCTGTGGCTCCCACCCAAAGCAAATAACCTTTGCCCGCCAAACATGGTACATCTGAGATAACACAAATCCTGCTTTGGGAAAAAAAAAACCTAAGTAGGATCTTCACTAGTTGAACAAACTTTTTAAACCATACAAAAAGTAGACTTACCTATCACAAACATAAATGTTCTTTATCATTATAAATCTTCCTTTAACTCAGAGACTCTTCAGAAAAAAATTATCCTTGGCCACATTTGATTTCCTGCAAATTTAAACCAATTGTAATTAAAGAGGATATAAGTCTTTAAGATCAAATACCAAAACGAAACTCAAATCAGCTGTTAGTCACATGTTCCACTGTCTAATCTGTTGATGACATAATATCTATGATATGTCACATTAAGAATACACCCCTTTGTAACTACAACTGGGGGCAGCACTAACATACACATAAGTTTATGCCCAGTTTTTCCTTTACATTCCATCCTCTTTCAGGGAACATTATCTTGTGTAAGTTTTAACCCATCTGATCAAATCATAATAAAGGACATTTATTTAGCACTTTGAAGTTTGCAGAGCACTTTATACCAATTATCTCAGTTTAACTTCTCAACAATCCTGTCAGCGAAGTACTGAAGATATTATTATCCTTATTTTACAAATGAAGACATTGAGGCTCAGAAGGTTTAAGTGACTTGCCCACAGTATCAGAGGTAGTATCTGAACTCAAGGTCTTCCTGACTCCCTCAATCCAGCATTCTAGGTATACATGCTGTCAAATTCTAATACATCTTATTCTAACAGAATTCTACTGCATTTGAAAAATAATAAGAAAATTTAGAAAGTTCAGAGTATGACTTTTTGGGAAGGGATTTTAATTAAATTTTTAATTTGCCATAGGATCATGGCATCAAATAACTTAGAGCTAGAAAGGAATTTAAAGATCATCTAGTCCAACTCCTTCATTTTACAGATGAGGCCCAAAGAAGTTAAGTGACTTGCCCAGGGCAATGAATAAATTGTAGGCATAAGTTGCACCATATTAACAATGAAGACTTATTTACAAAAAGCTGTATTAAAAATACCATCAAAGATATTTGTGAACAGAAGAGGAGTTAGGCTGATCTATTAGCAAGGGTGAGAGTTCACTAATTGTTACATCCTGTCAAAAGAACCAGAGGGAAGGTACGTGAATATTTCATGGGGGGGGGGTTGACCTCCTTAAGGTCTAGAATTGTTTTCTCCTTCTTTGTATACCCAGTGCTTAGTACAGGGCTTGGCACATAGAAATCTATTAATAAATGCTTATTGGCTAACAGGAATAAGTGTTGAATGTGGATGGATTGTGATCTATACCATTAAGGGGGCACTCACACCAATGAAATCAACAGTCTGATGAAACCACAGATGCACTGAAGAATTAAAAAATTCTCTCTCTGAAGAATTTAAAAGAAGGCGTGCAGAAAAAAAAACCTCTTACCATACCTCCCCCCTCCCCTGCTAAATGGAAGCACTGAGAGGCACTCCTTATCAGGATATAAGAGAGGTAGAATCAGAGGCCATATACAAGTGATAATTTTGCTCTTTGCATGGCAAGTCATAGATCATGGAATGTTTGAGCTGTAAAGAACCTTATACCACGACCACCCCCATCCCTCCCAGGACCTTGCAAATTCTTCAAAATCTTTCAAACAGCTCAGTAATCATATGCTGGTTGTGTCGAACTAATTTTTTTAATTAAAATACAAATTGCTAGTCTTCCCATATGCTACAAGGAAACTTGATCCCATGAGTTCAACAAAAGTCCTTAAAATACTTTTCCAAGAAAGGAATATATTTAAAAGGGGAGGTGTGGTATAATGGATAGAAGCTGACCTTGAAGTTAGGAAGATGTGAGCTCTACCCTTGCTTCTGAAGCACTCTAGCTATGTGACCCTAAGCAAATAACTGAACCTCTCACTGGTTGAGATAATTCTCTATAATAACTACAGAGAAGATGCCAACCTTCATGGATTGAGTTTCCACATTAGCAGTTCCTTATGCTAATGAAAGCAGAGGTCTGCTCCCCACCAAAGGTACATATTTTAGACAAGAGTCAAGAAATTATATATCCCACCAATAACTGTCATTCTATTTAAGCAAACTCAGTATAAGAATACTAGATTTATAAAGAAGATAAATTAGGATCTGATTATATACTTTACATGCTTTTTTAATCAAGAGATTACTTTTAAATAGCAAGCTACAGTAGTAAAAAAATAATTCAGTTAATAAAAGTTTCATATTCCTGGGAGATCATATAAAATAACCTTCTCCTTTGTATATACTTAAACCAGGTCTCAAAGGGATTAAGTGAATTGCTCAGAATCACAATGACAAAGCTGGAACTGGAAACCAGTTCTTCCAGTCCTGTGGGGCATTCACCGTGGTCACCAAAAGAAAACACATCCCTTGCTTAAAACAAATATACTAGATAAATATATACATGTGTATATATATATATATATATATATATATATATATATATATATATATATATATATATATATATATATATATATATATATATAAAATGCTTAAAACAAATATACTAGATAAATATATGTGTATATATATACACACACACACACACACACACACACACACACACTCACACATTTCTGCAATGATATCTTCTTTGCACTTTTCCTGCATCAAGAAGTGATAGGATGGTTAACCAACTGGAAATTTTATTTTGAACCTGAACAGATGCCTTTTCCTCATCTATATATGGAGGGGGGCAGTGCTAAATTCACATGATTCTGCAAAGTTTTTTGGACTAAAGTCAGGGGTATTTTCCACCCCAAAAAAACCCAAATAACCAGAGAAGTAGAGCAAACCCCCTTCCCCAAGATCATTTGCAGCTATGATCATATTATCCTTGATAATCGGTAAAATGAAATACCCACCACCAAAACTCAAAGGGAAAATGAAGAAAATCAGAGCTAGCCCAGAGCTCCCTTTAAAACCACGTGGCCACTCCTAGCTAAACTGCACTGTGGCCCGGCCCCTTCCACTCCCTCCTCCCCTTCCCATTCTCCTCCCCTGGTGGGGGCGGGGAAGGAGGAACTCGCCAGCCAGGGATCACGTGGTATTCCTAGACAGCCAATCGCTGCCCGCTCTGTGCGGCGGCGCGGGAGGAGCCCGGCCTACTCACTGCCTCCGGGCCGGGTCTTCCCGCCCCGGCTGCGGAGAGGCACCGCGCTCCGAGGCTTCTTCAGTTGGGCTCGGTCACCGAGGCTGGGTTGGGGGAAAAGATGACGGCGGTCCTGCCGCGCATCGAGCAGCTGTCCTCCCGGGTGGTGCGTGTCCTGGGCTGTAACCCCGGACCCATGACGCTCCAGGGCACCAACACTTACTTGGTGGGGACCGGCCCCAGGTAACGGCCTCCCAGGCCAAGCTGCTGAGTGAGCTGCGGGGCCGGGGTTTGCTCCCTGCTCCGGCCCCCGCGGGGGAGGGGGTCAGGCCGGGCCGGGGCGCGGGCGTACCCAGGTCGCAGTTATTGCTCAGATGAGACGCAGGGAGCCCCCCCCAACCCCGCAAGTACTTTTAAATGGCGTTGTGGGTTTTGGGGGGGCAGAGGACCCCTCCCCGCTTCTGGCTACTGAGAGAGGGGCAGGGGACACCCCTTTCCAGCTGCTGAGAGGGTGCCCACCCCCCCCGCTTTCAGCTGCTGAGAGGGGTACCTGGGGGACTAATGCCGCCGGAGCAGCGCCCCACTTCCTGCTTCTCTGCGCACTTGGCCTGACCCCCACCTTCTCGGTCGCTGAAAGGGTGCGATCGCGGTGGATCCTTCCTAGGAGGTCCTGCTCCACACCTCCCACCGAGGGCACGATCCTCCGCCTTCCCTAAGATCGGCTCGGTTGTAAACCCCAAAGGTCCGGCGTCAGCCCCGAGGAAAGAGTTGCAGACTCTCCTCTTGTTTTCCTTTGCAAATATCCCTTGTTTCTAAGGATTTTCTCCTTTGTTATTTGTAGGCAGTGCCAGAGTCCCATATTTTGGTTGTGTTGCATTTTTAACTGAGCTTCAAATAAAAGGAATAAATGAGGATTGTAATTAGGGTCATAACGTACTTTCATCAGCATAAAGCCTGATGTTAGAGCAGGTGGTGAGCTCTATCCACGTTAGTTAGAATCCAAGAAAAATGAGGCTTTAGACGAAAAGGTAAGCCGTTCTTCTCTCCACCTTAACAAAGGATCAAAATAAGATGAGAAAAATTCACCAAATTTCAACATCGTCTTACACAAGCTCTCCTTGAACTGTTCTGTCCTGTTCCTGTGGAATCCTGGTGTCCTCATGACAAATAAATTTAATGAATCACTTATTGAAATGACTTACTGTGTGCTTTAGTACTGTGCTAAGGACCCTGAGGTAATGCAATAAAATAATTAAATAGAGGCCCTATTCTTAAAAAAGTTTAAAATCTTAATAGTGTGGCAGCAGTGCCCATACAATCTAAATTATGTGCTTTTCACACAGTAAAGTAGGATGTGATTGAAGTTAGTGAACTGTAAAAATCAGCGTATGATTCTGAGCACCTCTGAGTCCTCAGTGTCTCTTTGATTTTTCCCTTCCTGTCACAATTAGACTTGTGTGACAAATGGAAGGAACTAAAAGAAGGCTAGTTAGAGGGCAGCTAGGTGGCGCAGTGGATTGGGCACCGGCCCTGGATTCTGGACCTGAGTTCAAATGTGATTTCAGACACATGATACTCACTAGCTAGGCAAGTCACTTAACCCTCATTACCTCCCCCTCCCAAAAAAAAAAAAGTCTAACTAAAGGAGAGGATTCCAAAAGGTACAGTGTGATCAAGGAAGCCTTTGCTTGATTCAAGGATACCAAGCAGATACTAGATCTGTATGGTAGTGTGTGTGTAATCTGGAAAATGTGTTTTTATGCTCGTTGCTGTAGGTCGGCATTCTTATTGCTTCATCCCTAGTGTTGGCTTATCATTTCACACCTGTACTGTCTCTTAGCTGGTCTCATTATACCATCTTTCAGCACACTAGTCACTCCATCCTGTATATTACTGTCAGATATTAATTTTCCTAGAGCACAGCTTTTACATGTAAAAGGAACTTTTATATGTAAAAAAAAAAGGTTGCTCAGGAATCTCTGATGGTTTGTTGCAATCTTATGCTCTTTTGAAGCACTAATTATATAATAGACATTCAATAAATACTTATTGATTATGGTAAGAGTTGAATTTTGAAGAGTGAGAATTTGGAATTGGCAGAAAGGAGTGAGTTCAATAAATATTAATGTGCCTTTCTGTGGAAAGCTGTTACGCTGCCTCACCGTGACAAGAGTGGTTTGAGGTTTTTTTGGTTTTGTTTTGTTTTTAAGCAATAATGAATTTCATTCAGTTACAGAACAGGTGTTTATAAAACTTTTGCCATGTGCAATAAACATTGCACTTGGGGAGCTTTTCTTTATTTGTCTAAACATGTAATTTCATCCGTGTAAGGATTTCCCTGTGAGGCAATTCCGTTTACAATGCAGATCAGCAAGACTGCCACAATTTTGAATTGAGTCCTATGTTCACTGAGACTTTAAGTGTTTGCTGTTATGTGAGGGAAGAGACTCAGTGCAAGGAGATACAGAAATGACTATTAATGTTTCCACCTCACACAGAACCAATCACAAACATATGCAAGAAGGCTACTTAAGTTAGGAGTGTAGTTTAGGTAGTGGAATAAAGCAAAATCTAACAAGTATGGCACCAGAACCTTGTTCCTTTTAACTTTAGCTTCTTACCATTAGTGCTAACCAATCACAGATTTTGTATAATAGTTATTTCTTTTTCCTGAGGGAATGACATATTTCCTCTAGATTTTTAAAAAATCCATTGATATAAATTAAAGGATAATTTTAGTTGATATTATGATCATCTCTTTCCTCCTGTAAGTGTGGGGAAATTAAAAAAAAAAATTTAGGCAAAGGAGGTTCAATTTTTTTTTCCCCAAAAGCCATCCTTTGTAACTAGATAATTATTCTTGAAATCCTGACAACAGTATTTCCTTAGGCTTTTTGGCCATATACAGGTCAGTCTGAAGTTTCAGGTGATTCCTATTAACAAAAGGCCTCAAAAGCAGCCAAGGGTGTTGACACGGTTAAAAAAGCAACAAGAATCTCTATTGTTTATCCAAATTAAATTCCTATCCTCCCCTTCAGGTTTCCTTTTTACAGAAGCTACTCAGTCCTAAATACAAAGAGACAGCAAAAAACTGGAATGCTGAATTTAGGGATCCCAGAATATCATAGGAATGTCCATAGGAGGAATAGATCTTAAAATTACCTGTCATACTTGATGCTATCTGCAGAGAAGTAACTGTACAAAGTAAATTAAAAGCATAAACACCTAGATGTTTACTGTATGTCCTAGCATTGGAGCAAATGTGGTAGAAAAAAAAAGCAATTGGAAGAGTATATCCAATATACATACTGTACACCAGAGGGTTCACACATGCAGCTTACAAAACTCTCACATGAAACCAGAAAAAGATTAAATATAACTGGGAAATATTTAACTAAATAAATAAAATAAAAGTTAACATACATATTAAAACAAGTCAATATGTGACTCGCAGGGATCCTTTTGTGCCAATTAGTAGACCCCATTTCTGTTGATACCATTGATGTAGATGACAGTATAACATGATGATACAACAGCATGAGCAAGTCCTATTTATATTAAAGCTTCACTAATTTGAATTTCACTATTTGACGTTTGAGATTATTCCAACAAACTGTTGGAATTTATTTGCTTAGAAAACCTTTTCATAATTCAAGTAATATAAGCAGGATTGTAGGGAATGATTTAAAATTCGAGTGGAAAGGAGAAAAGCTGGTAAGGGAACAAATCTCCTTTAGGGGCATTCATTTATATGTAAAAAGCTTATATTCTAATAAAAGATTTTTAATATCTTCATTAAATTGATTTTTTAAGAATTCTACTAGTCAACACTGTGTTAGACTTTATATTTATAAAGTTACATTCCTGTAATTGACATTTTACTAATTTAAATTTCCTTCAAGTTAATATGAATTTAGTCAGTTTTATTATGTAATCAAGAAAGAATCAAACAATGTGAAATGATAATTGAGAAGGCAACTCTAAACCTCAAATTAAATTTAGAACTAGAGGCTTGAGAAATTAACAAAATTCTACTATTTTAGAAATAGGGGAACTGAGGCCTAAAAAGAGATAACAGTTTCCCTTAATTTGTGGTAGAAAAGGAGATTTTAAAGTAGGACTTAGTAAGAAAGTTCAGAAGCATAAGTGGAAGTATCAAAGAGAAAAATTAACTTTAGTTTGAGTGGGGAAATTTTACCTATCCTATTTCCCATTTCACACCTGAAAATGAAGTTATGGTTCATAACAAGCCTAGTAACTTAGTTACTATACCTAGTGTAGAAGAACAAACTTGTTTAGAGAAGGTATTCAATAAAATCCTTTGGCTTCTGTTGGACACAAGGCTATTGTAAGAGGTCTCTGAGTTCTTTGGTGTTTTTCCTTGAGGTTTGTAAGTCACTTTTCTTGTTATCTCATTTGATACAACAACATTATGAGGTTGTGCTGTTACCCTCATTTTACAGCTAAGGGAAGCTGAACAGAGGTTAAGTGACTTGCCCAGGGACATGCAGGTAGGAGGTGTTTTGAGGCAGGATTTAAGGTTTCCAGAAGCTTAATAATAGTAGCTAGCTTTTATGTAGCATTTTGAAGCTTGCAAAGCACTTTACAAATACCATCTAATAGCTTCTATTTATATAATGCTTACTATGTGCCAGACACTGTGAATGAGGAAATGGGTTAAGAGAGATAAGTCGCTTACCAGGGTCACACAGCTGGCAAGTGTCTGAGATTGTATTTGAGCTCAGATCTTCCTGATGCTAGGTCGTGTGCGCTATCCACTGTACCACCTAGCTACCTCACTACTTGTTTACCTCTCTTATAGCCTTCCAAAACTCAGGGTTACCTGTATGCCATGATAAGTTACTAGAGTAGGATTTTAGTAGAATTTTCCTAAAATTTAGCTTAATTATCTGAAGGGCCAACATGCTACTATTATCTCATACTTCATAATTTTATGTCTATTTCTATTGTTTGATTTCATTATTTAATTTGGCTTTCTAGGAGAATTCTTATTGATGCTGGTGAACCATCAATTCCAGATTATATCAGCTGTTTAAAACAAGCACTGACTGAATTTAACACATCAATCCAAGAAATTGTAGTGACTCACTGGCACATAGATCATACTGGAGGCATATTAGACATATGTAATGGCATCAATACAGGTAAGCAGAAATGTTCATTACTCCTATTAAGAAAACTGGTTTTAAAGGTCTTATTTTAGTAAACTATTAAAGTATTTACTGAGCTTTTCCTGTTTTCATATAACTTCTGCCTGTTAATTATTATTCTTGTTTTAATATAAAAGGAAGAGAAAAAATGCTGTTTACTACTTAAGATCCCCTGCTCCTGTCCCCTTGCAAAAAAGAAAAAGATACCTTTCCACTTAGCATAGGCTAAAGATTTATCACTCTGTGAAGCCTCTCCAAACCTGGTTAGGCTGCTCCTTGGACTACAGGAATACAGGCCTCTTGCACCAGGCCTCTGCTCCTAAGTCTTTCAGTCAGGGTAGAACCTTCCAGAGCTTATATTCAACTAATATAGACTTCAAGAACTTGATGTCACCTTCGTGCCATAATGAGACATCAGAATAGTACATTTGTGAAAAAGATGTACTGTTCCAAGAATAATCTTGGAGTTTGAGCTGAGCTTTAAAGGAAACTAGAGATAATAAGAAGCCAGTAATTAACACTCTTTGGGTGGTCATTCAACCAGCTACAAATCCATCTGGCTTTATTACCATTTGTTACCATTACCATTTGAACCCATTTGTTCATCTTATCCACAAAGATATCATGAAAAATCTTGTCATGTTTTACTGACATCAAAACTTATTACATATAGAGCATTTCCCTGATCTACTAATTTATCAAACTGTGACATGAATATAGTTTGGCATGTCCTCTTAATGAGCCTATGCAGATTCTTCATGATCATCACTTCATTTTGTATTTGCTTACAAATTATCCATTAAATAATATACTCTGGAATGTATCCAGGAATAAATGTTGAATTCTATGTCTATAGTCTTTAGCTTTCTTATTCCCTATTTTAAAAAAGCAAAACACTGGCCTGTCTCTAGCCTTCTAGAACTACTCCCAATTCTCCAGAGTTCCTCAAAGATTATAGGCAGGAGGCAGCTAGGTGGCACAGTGGATAGAACACTGGCCCTGGAGTAAGGAGGACCTGAGTTCAAATTTGGTCTCAGACCAGACACTTGACACTTACTATCTGTGTGACCCTGGGCAAGGCACTTAACCCCAGTTGCCTTGCCAGAAAAAGACAGAAAAACAGAAAGGAAGGAAGGAAGGAAAACTTATTAAAAAAAAAAAGATTATAGACAGCAATTCTGTCATCACTTCTTCAGCTTTTTCATTATGCTGACATACATTCATCTGGGCTGTGACCAGTTCTCATGTAATGTAGCCATGTCAGTCAATAAGCATTTACTAAGTCCTTACTCTCTATCAGACATTGTGCCAAACACTGTGGATACAAATAAAAGCACAAAACCAGCCACTGGCCTAAAGGAGCATACATTCTAAAGGGGGAAATCACATACATATGTCAATATACATGCAAAATATATACAGTTAGATGGAAAGTGATCTGAAAGGGGTTGTGTAGCAGTTGGAGGGAAAGACCTCCTTCAGAAGGCAGGCTTTGAACTCAGTCTTGAAGGAAGCCAAAGAAAATAAGAGGGAAGGAGTAGGGGCAGAGCATTCCAGGCATGAATGATATTCAGTAAAAAAGTGTCATGTTCAACTGCAAGTAGGCCAGTGTGGTTGGATCAGTGGAGAGTATAAAGTATTAGAACACTAGAAGAGTAGGAAGGGGTTAGGTAAAGAATATAATTTATATTTAAGATCATATTTATGATCCTGGAGAAAATAAGGAGCTTATTACTTGGCTGCATTGAGCAGGGAGTTGGGGAGAGACTTGAAGCAGGTAGACCAGTTAAAAGTTTATTGAAGTAGTCCAGGTAAGAAGTAATAAGGGCCCAAACTAGGGCTTTATGACTGAAAAGAATAGGATATATACAAGAGATACTGTGAAGGCAGAAATGACGTGTGGCAACAGATTGGATATGTGTGGTGAGTAAGGAGGAGAGTGAAGAGAAAAGATGACAATGAGATTTCAAGCCTGGGTGACTGGGAAGATGGTGCCCTCAACAGTAATAGGAAAGTTTGGTAAGGGGGAGTTTTGGGGAAGGAGAAGAAAAAACAGGTTATGTTTCAGACATGTTGTCTTAGAGACACCTGTTGTAGGATATCCAAAATGAGACATCTAAGAGGCAATTGGAGATGTAAGACTGGTTCACAAGAGACTAAGTTGGTATGTATAGATCTGGAATCATCTACATAAAAATGAAAATTGAATGAGATCACCAAGTAATACGGTAATAATATTTTTTGTATCCTCAAGGATAAGCGTTTCTCATCACGCCTGGACATATTTCCACTATGGAATTTTCATCTATTGATGTTATCTATCTTTCCTCTGAACACTTTGAAATCTGCTGTCCTTAAACATAGTGCGTCTCAAACTATGCCTAGCATTTTCTCCTCTTTGACAAATTGAGATACTGTGGCCATTTCCCCCCAAAGTTTCTATCATTTCTACCTCAGCAATTAGCTCCTCATTATTATTAAGAATTCAGAGTAAAATTTCCCTTTGTTGGTTTCTACCTTTTTTAACAAAGAATGAAATTATCAAGTTATTAGCTGCTGTACTTGTGGTGTAGAATAGAAGTTCCAATGGATGTCTGGATAATTGAAGAATTCCATCCCTTTGATGTCATGCCTGTTGTCAGGCCTATGATTTGTTTTCCAAACTCCTCATCTATTTTCTCTTTCTATTCAAGTTGTCTGTAGTGTATTCCAACAATAAAGTTACTACTACTTCTCTCCTTACTGCTCTCACCCCAGGATTCTCTTACCATGTTTTCCTTTTCTGTTTCCTGATTTTCTTACATGAGTCTACCTTCTTAATATATGACTGTTCCCTCCTTATTCTTTCTTGTTTGTTTTGAATAAGGTTATATCCATTGAGGGCCATATTCTAATCATACTTCAGTGATGCCTGTGAAGGCACTTCTGCCTCCTGGTGTTAGGACCTCTAGCTCTCTTGCTTGTCACCTAAATTTTGTGTGTTTGTGTACAGATTTTGGAGCCTTGTGTTTTACTAATGGCTCATTTCTTAGATTCTTGTCTCCTGTGACCTTTCAGGTATCTGAACTGTTATTCTTCCTGCACTGTAGCTGTTATGTTTGGTATCTACTTTGTTGGAGATGTAAAAGTAGTTTTCTTCCTCTTCCATTTCAATTAAAGTCCTTTTGATTATATTTGAAAAACATCAGAAAAATACATTCTTAACAGCTTTTATTAGGTACTTCCTGGCCAAGAGACCCATTATTCCTATGTACTATAAATCCAACTCCCAGTCTAAGACACCTCTTCTTAGCCATCTGTTTCCTAATTTAGCTTTTTTTCTGTATCCATTGTCTTCCATGGACAGCAGTGAGGGGGAAAAAAACAAACTTGTGTTTCTCTGACCTTTACTTTCTTACCTAAGACTTGATAACCTTTGTCATTGCTTTTTAGATTCCTTCTGGTACTTTGGTTTATGCCCACATGAATCACCATAAGTGGTTAGTAGCCATCTGTTTTAACAAGTCGGGAGTTCTTCATTATGTCTGGGGCCGGGGCATACACACCCCAGAAAGACTGTAGCCTCTTTATTGTTACTAAGTCAGTAAGTGCTCCCTTAGCAAGGAATCACCTATCAGTATTACAGTTCTCTTTTTCCTCTAACCCTTACTGGATAACCTATTTCTGAAGCCTTCTGTGACTCTTATTTTATCATTTATTTGGTGGAGCACAAGAAACTATTTCTTCCTCAAAGCCATCTAGTTCCCTTCTCTTTAGGAAGAAGTTCACGTTGTTTTTAGCTTCAAGTGTATAGTACTCCTTCCCATCTACTGTGTGACAGTCACTTACTCTCCAACCTCATAGCACAGGTCGGGTTTGCCTTTGCCACTTCAGTTCCTCCATCTGTTGCTTCTGCCTCCACTTTCCCCCACTGAAGTCCTTCAAAATATCTTCTTGACCTGCACTTTATTCCCATTGCTACTGCTTTAGACCAGAACATCATCATCTCACACCTTAGTTTCTATATTAGTCACCTTTCTGATGTCCCTGTCTCCAATTTTTCCCTTCTTTAATCCATTCTGTATTCTGCAGCCAGATTAAGCTTCCTAAAATACATCTTTCTACATGTTATTCTCTTATTCAAGAATCATGATACTATGGAAAGAGCACTGAACTTGGAGTCATGGAACCAAGTTTCAAAACCCAGCTTTGCCACCTACTTACTACTAACTGTTGGACTTTAGACAAGTCATTTTACATCTCTAGGCTTCAGCTTCCTCACCCATAAAATTAGGTATGAACTAGATGGCCTTTTAAGATTCTTCTACATTTAGATCTCTGATCCCATGATCACAATTATCTATAAAATCAGTTTCAACTGCTTCTGCCATTCAGGGGTCTCCAATAATAGTAGCTCCATTTTATATATCCAATCTTGTATTCTACTACTCCCCAAAACAAAATTTCTGCTTTGGACAAGCTGATTTCTTTAGTGTCTTCTACATATTCCGTGCTTATTCTTCAATTAATCAAATATTTATTGAGCACTTACTACATGCTGTGCATTGTACTAGACACTAGTGTTAAAATGGTGAAACAAGATAGTCTTGGGGCAGCTAAGTGGCACAATGGATAGAGCTCTGGCCTTAGAGTCAAGAGGACGTGAGTTCAAATCGGGTCTCAGACACATGACACTAGCTGTGTGACCCTGATTGCCTCACCAAAAAAAAAAAAAAGATAGTCTTTACTTACAAAGCATTTACAGTAGGATAAGATCAAGTACATATGCAAGAGAGATTCAAAAACAGTAAAGAGGAAGAGGTCATTTGCTACTGGGGGGATCAGGGAAGGTTTTTTTCCTCTTTTAAATTTAATTTTATTTTCAATTTCAGATGCTCTCCATTCTATCCCCTCCTCCCCTACCCACTGAGAAGTCACAAAAAATAAAGCTCATTACAAATATGTATAGTTATGCAAAATAAATTCCTGCATTATCCATATCCAAAAAAGGAGGG